TTTCTCATTTCTCATTTTCAGAATCAGCATACTCCAAATACAAACATATGTCAAAATCATCCAAATTGGTCCATTGGTTCAAAAGATAGATCGAAGTCCTTTGTGACCAAATGAAGCATGGCTTTTCTCCCCAAAACCAGTTCCACAGAGTCTTCTATCCTGGAGATAATTGGGAAGTAATCCAACTATCTCCAAGGACAGAGGCAAAACTCCATTAACCACATGGCAGTAAAAAGACAGTAAAAGACATAAAATTACATACTGTTACATTCATCACATAGAACGTACACATTCTACCTATCCCCAGATAGCTTAGATCTGAGCGCACATTATTACCGGATGGCGCTCAGATCACATGCATACAGTTCAATCGCCATGGAGCCAAAGTCTTTCGGTATACGAATGGGCTCCATGGCTTAGCTGTCTGGGGTAACACTGCTCACACATAAAAGGTTTTTAATGCAGGGCCATAGTCAGCAGGCAGGAGGCGGGCAAACAGGCTTCTCCAATGCCCAGTGGCGAGGTTGGTTTCGCCACATATACAGACAGAGTTAGACAGACAGAAAGACAAACATCGATAGATAAATAGATAGCTAGATGTCAGATAGATAGATACGGGCAGACGACTAGATGAAGTCCGGAGAAGGCTGACTAAATGTGTCACGTTAGATGTTACAAAGAGAGCCCCACGAAGGCCGGGAACCTCGAAACCCACAAAATACTTTTTGTGTTTGGCAAGAATCAGCTGTACTTAGTGAGATTGTGGGTTACCTTAGTGGGATACTCACCAACTGCAAAGTTAGCAGTTTTAATTGTATTTTTTTATAATAAAGATGTTGAATATTGCGTCATTGGGTTCCGGGTCTTGCCTTGTCTCCCCTTGTTTTAAGTGCAGAATATTATAACACTGTGTGGCTGGATACCCTGCAATACGTGGGACACACTCAAACCTAGAGCCAGGGGTAAAAGGGCTCTGGTACATATGAGTGAAACCCCCCACTGTCACGGCAAGGGTGCATAATTTATTATTGCACTATGGAACATTGCTATTTAGTATAACTTGTGCAGTGCGTCAATGTAGCGGAGATGCAATATTACCCAGGTTATCTCTGCTTATAATCCAAGTGAGACTCAGGAACAAGTAAATAGTAAATCCAAAGGCAGGGTTTCCAGCAGGTAAAATACAGCAATATCCCAACAGCAATCCCAATAACTGGACGACACACAGTTTCAGGAGCATAACTGACAAGCCTTTAATCACAGTCTCCTTATAAAGCATGCTCCCATGCAAGGGAGGGATTTACAGTAATTATTACAGTAGCCAATCCTGTCCTGGTAACCTCCCACACATCCCCTCCCCTCAGCCAGCATCATAATCCCCTTATCCAGCACACCAATTCCCCCCATTTCTGGATGTACCCCTAAACGTAGGGGTACCTCTTTAAATCATACATCCCCTGGTAGCCCTGATCTGGGTGAACAACATATCCAAAAATCACCCAGATCAGACCAGGGGTTCGGGAAAAGTATGGAGGGAATAAAATGACCGACCGCACGAACTGAGATAGCCGAATTCGGTTCCATGTGAATGGGCCTTGCGGTCGGTCCTGGCATAAGGGAATAAAATACACGAAAGCCTCTAGCTATAGAGGCTAGGGAGGGTTCGCCTGAATCCCCTCGTTCGGTATTCTCTATCTACCGAACGAGGGGCCGTTCGGTAGTTTGGAACCGAACGGACCAGGGCTGTGGAGGTCTCAGCGGTGTTCGCCTACTCGAGTGTCCGATTTTAGTTCCAGACACTCGACGGCAAAACACCGCTGTTCGGGAGTTTTAAAATGGCCGCCGCCACGTGTTCGTTTGTCGAATGGCGGCCACCCCCGAGAACAAAGGACGGCTACTTACTGTTCAATTACCCGTTCGCAACAATGTTGCAACGGGTAATTGAGGACACACTTCACACAGGGGAGGTCTGGTTGTTCGGTAGTTTCATTCGAATAAACTAAGGGAATGAAACTACCGAACAATCAGAGGAATACAATTCTTTTTAATACACAGAAAATACAGCAGATACACGGATGCAGCTTTATACAGTATTTTCGTAGGGTCGCCTGGTGCCATCCGCTACAGTCAATAATTGGACCCCTGGCTACAGGACAAATCGCAGAGAGAAATTGCTCTTTTGTTCAAAAGCTGCTTCTGCAAGGTGTGAAACGGATAGCCCTTTTTGATCTATCAAAGGTCCTGTAAGGTGAGACATTTTACACTTAAGCCACCTGTACAACTAGTTTCAATGTAAACTTACTGACTTTGACCATATGGCCTGAAACTCTCAATTGATAATTCAATCCTTTGATATGGTAATGGTATTAATTTCATGAAGACCCTTCCTTGTGTTCCAATATCATATCCAAGAGAAACATTAATACTTACCCACAGCTTAATAATTAAGCCTCATTTTTCTTATATTTGGAATGGGACAAGCCCAAGCTCTTAATGAAGCCTAAACAACTTAAACCATGTGACAGGAATTGTGATGTCCATCCTGTTGGATCGTGGGTGGGGCGTGTGATATGTCTATGGAATGGGAAAATAATAACAAATTTGTAGATGCAATTATTATTTCTGTGGCAGGTACATTAAAGAAGATAGAGCCAAATGTTTCCCTTTGGATTGACGGTGGTCTGGAACAAAGGAGGTGGTCACTTATTATTTCTGTAGGTACGCCTTAACTCCACCCCTGGGCAAGACTTGATATCCAATGATTTGGAAGGGTGTTGGTGTACAAGATCTAATTTTGAGTGAGTCACCATCATCCTTCCTTGCCAGAGACCCCCTGGGCAGAGGTTTTACTTTGAAAACCTAAGTGAGTAATTAGGACTTCTGTTATTTTATCCTTTTTGTTTTTACCTGTTGTTGGTGTAAATAATTTGTCATATATTTTTATATGCACTGTGACTATGTTTGCTCATAATAAACATTCATTTATTAACTGCCTTTGTCTGGTTAAGAATCACGTTACCTGAAGAGACTAATTAGTATTTCACAATTACATAGATATTGTGCTAAGTAATATTTGGTTGGTTTTATTATTGATTTACCTGGGGGGACCAAGGCACCCCATTATAAATTGTCTTGGTGGTGGCAGCGTTAAAATAGTAATAGTTATTTTATTATGTTTAAGTGTGGGTGGTGTTAAGGGGGATTTTGTCATTATTTTCGGTCTAGTGCAGACAAATAGTGAACTTTAACCCTTTCACCACCACAACTACGTCACGCACACCCTTGGAATAGGGTGCGTTCGTGACACCCACATTCACTTTGTTCATTGCATTTCTATGTATCATATACAGATGGTCTGCACTATATTTGTTTTTATTATTTTTCACAAATTATAAATATATAATGAAGATCATTTGTTAAGTGTATTTATGAGCGCACCATTGTTTTCTGGACTATTTTTTTAAGATAGTTAAATTCTTCCTACCCCACGTGAAGACACCTACCTCCCTTTACAAGGACATTTTTGCCAAAACTTTGGGGGTTTCGTTTCTTTGTGTGGGTCTGCTCTTCCTCTTAATTCCATAATTCTTGGTCCCGTGTTATTCTGGTAGAAAGGATCTAATTATATGAATGCTCTGCTTCCGCTTCCTTCTATAAAGTCCACTATAAAGATGGCAGAATGTTTATTGCCATTTTGTTAATATGATGTGGTGATTCTGATAACAATTGGACATAATAAAGAATATTATTTATACTTTCCTGTGCTCCTATGTGTATATTGGACCATCTAGGGATTGAAAGATGTTTTCTATCTTTTTATCCTGCCGTAGACTCTGTAGTTACAGCAGACAATTGTGACCACCACCTCCAAAGATCTATTGCTGCTTCCACTGGCACTGCAGCTCCTTCTACCACAACTACTTCTAACGAAACCTTTTATGTTTATGTTTGAAGAAAGTGATAACCAGATGACTAATTTCCATTCCCAGTGTTACCCCCAAGTTTTCGTAGCCCCCTAAGAAGCAACTAAGGGAGAGCTCAGCAGAGTATAGAACCCTGAGCCCAAAGAATCCAGGAGGAGAGCCTGGAGTGGGCAGCCACTCATAATTCTCTGTGGCAGATAGTGTGCACCTTCTCCACCTGTCTACATCCATGTCTATCTGCTTTTTTAATCACCTCATACAATAATGTCATCTGCTGCCAGTGTCACGAGTAGCTCATCTACCAGCACCACAACTTCCACCAGTTCTGTAATAGTCAACCAAGTGTTAGCAAACAGGCTAGTTTTCCTTCAGCTCTCCAAGTCATTGATGCAAATCCACCCGCATCTGCAACAACAGCAAGGTGAGGTGTATAGGACATTGTGGGACCTCCAAGAATGGCTTTTTGCAAAGTGCACATTGTGCAGCAAGTTAGTGAGTAGTATTAGGGGGAGAGTGAGGACTATCGTGTTTCTAGTGAAGTTCAGGCTGTAGGCACCATAGATTTAAGGAGTGCTCCCAGTGGGCAGGATGCCTTCCGGCAGGGAAGGAGGTCCAACCTTGGCAGCACAGCAGGCTGGAAGTGAATCTGTAGGCCAGCAGGGCTATCTATCTCTCCTGCTACATGCTGAAGTGATGAAGGAAAGGTCTCTCACTTATTTTAATTTTATAGCAATATGACAAGTTCACAAATCAGAACTGGCTTAGTAGAAATGGCTGACATTGCCTGGCTGTCAGTCAAACTAAGCGTATTGGCCTCCATTAAAAATATAATCTTTCTCTCGATTCCGTCCCCCTTTTTGATTCAACATGTGAAACCCTTAATCCAGAAGCATCCGAATGTATTTGGGTATTGACTTTCTGTTTGCTCTATGTTATGTACACACTGGATGCTCAAGTCTAATATTTAGTATATTATGCTATCACAGCAAGGACAGGGCGTGATATGTTCCTAATAAATCGCTGCCCCCCAGATCGTCTTGGGTTCCTTGAAGCAATAGTAAGCCAGAGAGATATGTACTGACATGTTTACATTACGGGCTATTATACACGTAATCTTTTATTGTAAATAATAATAGAAAGTAGAACAGATTCCCTTCGATTTGTATGTTAATAGCCATTTATTTCAGTGAATCCATTGAGCTGATTGAATCCATTGAATTCACTGGATCCATTGTAGATGTTGTGGACATTATCGTGATGGGACGAGGAAGAATAAATGAAGATTATTAGTAACACGTAAATCACGTAGGCAACCCAAACAATGTTCGCAGCGATTCCCAATCCCAGAGCCACCATGTTCAGTGAAAACGCAGTACGTGAATCGCTCGCCGCTGAAATCATGTCTCCGCGTCTCAATGAGTCCCGCGTCTGAGAGGAAATGAAATGACATGAGTTACTGACATCATTATGTTTAATGGTACAAAACACCATCATATTGCGCACACAATGTCATTAATGGAAATGGAGCTTCCAGAAATGACTACAGGACATATAGCAAACACTGACTGTGTGAGGGCATCATACAGTAAGTACTATAGGGAGAGGTATTAGCAGTAGAAAGAGGGAAGTGCTCATGCCATTATACAGAACACTGGTGAGACCTCACTTGGAGTATTGTACACAGTATTGGAGACCGTATCTTCAGAAGGATATTGATACCTTAGAGGGGGTTCAGAGAAGGGCTACTAAACTGGTTCATGGATTGCGGGATAAAACTTACCAGGAAAGGTTAAAGGATCTTAACATGTATAGCTTGGAGGAAAGACGAGACAGGGGGGATATGATAGAAACATTTAAATATATAAAGGGAATCAACACAGTAAAGGAGGAGACTATATTTAAAAGAAGAAAAACTACCACAACAAGAGGACATAGTCTTAAATTAGAGGGACAAAGGTTTAAAAATAATATCAGGAAGTATTACTTTACTGAGAGGGTAGTGGATGCATGGAATAGCCTTCCAGCTGAAGTGGTAGGGGTTAACACAGTAAAGGAGTTTAAGCATGCATGGGATAGGCATAAGGCTATCCTAACTATAAGATAAGGCTAGGGACTAATGAAAGTTTTTAGAAAATTGGGCAGACTAGATGGGCCGAGTGGTTCTTATCTGCCGTCACATTCTATGTTTCTATGTTTCTATGTTACACATTCCATCATCACCTAGGGACACCTAGGTACACAGGACATCACGCACATGGACACAGTGATATACACAGTGATACACATCAGGCACGTGGACACAGTGATATGCATCAGGCACGTGGACACAGTGATATACACAGTGATACACATCAGGCACATGGACACAATGATATTCATCAGGCACGTGGACACAGTGATATGCATCAGGCACGTGGACACAGTGATATACACAGTGATACACATCAGGCACATGGACACAATGATATTCATCAGGCACGTGGACACAGTGATATACACAGTGATACACATCAGGCACGTGGACACAGTGATATCATCAGGCACGTGGACACAGTGATATACACAGTGATACACATCAGGCACATGGACACAATGATATACATCAGGCACGTGGACACAGTGATATACACAATGATATACATCAGGTACGTGGACACAGTGATATACACAATGATATACATCAGGCATGTGGACACAGTGAAATACACAGTGATATACATCAGGCACGTGGACACAGTGATACACATCAGGCACGTGGACACAGTGATATACACAGTGATATACATCAGGCACATGGACACAGTGAAATACACAGTGATACACATCAGGCACGTGGACACAGTGATATCCACAATGATATACAAAAGGCATGTGGACACAGGGATATACACAATGATATACATCAGGCACGTGGACACAGTGATATACACAATGAAACACATCAGGTACGTAGACACAGTGATATACACAGTGATACACATCAGGCACGTGGACACAGTGATATCCACAATGATATACATCAGGTACGTGGACACAGTGATACACATCAGGCACGTAGACACAGTGATATACACAGTGAACACAATAATATACATCAGGCATGTGGATAAAGTGATACACAGTGATATACACAATAATATACATCAGGCACGTGGACACAGTGATACACACAGTGATATACATCAGGCACGTGGACACAGTGATACACACAGTGATACACACAGTGATATACATCAGGAACGTGGACACAGTTATATACATCAGATTTTATGTTGTACATGTAGTCTGTCTCTAGCTGCCACTAGTACTACAGGGTCAGAATAGGACATAAAACAGACCCCACATTGCAAAGCACAGCAGCCACTTTAAAATCAGAGAATCAGATGCCTTAAGAGCTGATGATCATTTTTCCACAAACAAAAATAAATAGTCCTGTGTGTGACAATACCCAGCTCGTGTCTATTCCCACTTCACCTCCCCTTTGCCCTCTCTCTGTCCCCTCATACCCTTTGAGTCTCTGTCCATGCCACCACTTATGTATTCCCATGCCCCCACCAAACACAACCCATCCAACGTGGAATTGAATTGGGTGTCCTGGGCTTGGGTATGTTGGGGGTGAGTGTGCTGGAAGTAGGTGTGTTGGAGTTGAGTTGGGTATATTATAGGTTAGAATGTTGGAGGAGAGTGTGCTGGAGGTGGGTGTGATGGAGTTGAGTTAGGTATATTGGAGGTGGTTATGTTGGGGGTGAGTGTGCTGAAGGTTGGTATGTGGGGTATGTTGGGGGTGAGTGTGCTGAAGGTTGGTATGTGGGGTATGTTGGGGGTGAGTGTGCTGAAGGTTGGTATGTGGGGTATGTTGGGGGTGAGTGTGCTGAAGGTTGGTATGTGGGGTATGTTGGGCGTGAGTGTGCTGTAGGTTGATATGGTGGGTATGTTGGGGGTGAGTGTGCTGGAGGTTGATAGGGTGGGTATGTTGGAGGTGAGTGTGACGAACTTGAGTATGCTGGAGGTGGGTATGTTGAAGGTGAGAGTGCTGGAGCAGGGTGCATTTGAGTTGAGGTGGGTATACTGGAGGTTAATGGGCTGAACAAGAGAATGTTGGAGATGCGTGTGCTTCAGGAGAGCGTGTTTGACTTGAGGTTCATATGTTGGAGGTTACTATCGTGAATGTGGGTATGTTGGAGGTAAGTGTGCTAGATGTTGGTATGTTGAAGGTGAGTTAGGTATGTTGGAGATGAGTGTGCTGGAGGTGGGTATGTTGGAGTTGAGATGGGTATGTTGGAGGTGAGTGTGTTGAAGGTGAGTATGTTGGAGGTGAGTGTGCTGGAGGTGGGTATGTTGGAGTTGAGTATGTTGAAGGTGAGTATGTTAGAGGTGAGTGTGCTGGAGGCGAGTATGTTGGTATTGAGTGTGTTAGGTTATAAAAAAATATCCAAATCTTTGATGATCCCCAGGAGCACCATTAAATCTATCATAACCAAATGGAAAGAACATGGCACAAAAGCAAACCTACCAAGAGACGGCCGCCCATCAAAACTCACGGACCGGGCAAGGAGGACTTTAAGAGTGTGTTGAAGGTGGGTATGTTGGAGGTGAGTGTGTTGAAGGTGAGTATGTTGGAGGTGAGTAAGCTGGAGGTGGGTATGTTGGAGTTGAGGTTGTTGAAGTTGGGTATGTTGGAGGTGAATGTGTTGAAGGTGAGTATGTTGGAAGTGAGTATTTTGGAGTTGCGTTGGATATGTTGAAGGTGGGTATGTTGAAAGTGAGTGTGTTGAAGGTGAGTATGTTGGAGGTGAGTGTGCTGAAGGTGAGTATTTTGGAGGTCGGTATGTTGGAGTCGAGTTGGGTATGTTAAAGGTGGGTGTGTTGAAGGTGAGTGTGTTGGAATTGAGTTGGGTATGTTGAAGGTGTGCATGTTGGAGATGGGTATATTTGATGTGGGTGTGTTGAAGGTATGTTGCAGGTGAGTGTGCTGAATGTGAGTATGTTGGAGTTGAGTTGGGTATATTGGAGTTGGGTATGTTGGAGTGGGTGTAAGCATTTTCCAGGGTTGTCTGATTGTCATTCCAAGACTGAACCACAACTATTAAGCCACATTGGTGCAATTCCACCATATCCCTTGGCAGAACAAATCTCAAGCCTGAAACAAGCACTGAGACCTCTTTACCTTGCAAGAGAATACAACAGCAGCGATTCCGACGGGGAAACAGCACAGGATCAGGTTCATGATGGACAGGCCTAGATAATCCCTGTATGTCGGTTGAGGAATAACCATTACATTAGGCTGTGTTTTGACCAGGGTCGGCATTGGCACAGCCTGTTGAGGGTTATAGGATGACATTGGCTGTCCATATTGGTTTGACAGTGGGTAATTATTGCCAGACTTAATGCTTTCCCCTTGGTTACCCAGATTGGATAAACTTGGTTTTAAATATGTGAACCCTCTGCCAGCCTCCATTGGATGACGAATGCTCTTTCTATTTCCAAGATCAACCAAAGTCTCTCTGTAGACACTCTCTCACGTTAGAGTTTTCTTCTATATGATCGGCCGTTTCTTCCCCCTTTTAAAACACCTGGCATGTTAAATACAATACCACGGTCACTCCCAGATAAGCAAACACTGGACTTATTTAATGTAACATTTAGAGGACATGAATGTCAGATAAAAGTAAATAAAAAATGGCTGTTGTTTATCACGAAAGGTCGTGTCTAGTGTTTATAGTCATGTGCCATTAATTAAAGGGACAATTCAGGCACACTCTTTACATGTTGAATGTTATCTTAAAATATCCTTCAAATACGTTTTCTTCTTGCTTCAAATTTTGTAAATAAAGAAAAACTATGTAATTCTTTCTTCTTCGACCTCTGTGAGAACATTGCCATTTTTTTCAAATGCAGCATTTTTTTCTCAAAATACTTTTATTCAGATTGTAACTTCACTCCTGGTGAGTAAACCTATGTACTTGGATCTCCACTTCATTAGCTCATTCGAGCCTCTTCCAATCTGCCCGTGTTGTCTCAGAGTATTTTTTTGTATTAAAATATTGCAAATACAGGTAGTTAAAGGGACACTATAGGCACCAAAAATGTTTTTCCATAATGAGGCTTCTTTTGTGAATAGATCTTGTCCCTGCAGTTTCAATGCTCAATTCTCTGCTATTTAGGAGTTAAATCACTTTATTTATGCAGCCCTAGCCACACCTCCCTGCGTGTGGCTTACACAGCCTTCCTAAACACTTCCTGTAAAAAGAGCTTATTGATCTAAGAAGAGATCTGACTGCAATCCTAGGGTCAAGAAGAAAATATTTTTGTTTCAAAATTGGAAAGTAAAAGCTGAAGTTGATGGATGCATATCTCTCTTCAGGCTATGTAATTATATGTAACATAGATCTAATATTTAGACTTCCTTTATGGCACATTCTGTTTAATTTAGAATTTTTTTATCCATTGCTATGTTAGTAGCTTTCTAGACCCTGCAGGAACCTCCTGTGTGATTAAAGTTATTTTGCAGAGCAGGAGACAAAAACCTCTAAAGTAAATTAACAGCTGATTATAAGTAGAACAATATTTTCATCTAGGCTGTGTGAGTCACAGCCAGGGGAGGTGTGGCTAGGGCTGCATAAACAAAAACAAAAGTGATTTAACTCCTAAATGACAGTGAATTGAGCTGTCAAACTTCAGAGGCGTGATCTATACACAAAAAAATGCTTCATTAAGCTAAAGTTGTTTTGGTGACTATAGTGTCCCTTTAAAAATAGTGTCGCCATCTCCAAGCTTTATTAACAAGTTGGATCCACTGATATTTTTAAAGTACTGGGATTAGCGTGTTGAAGCTTTACACCATGTTCAGAACACAAATTGTTTATAAATTATGAGAATATTCCCTACACATTCCCCCAGTGGAATTTTTAACACTCTGTATCAAACCGAGGCTGACGGCGGGCAACGAGGGAGCATGCTCACCTGAGCTCTTCCTGCTCAGCTCCCTCAGCACCGCTTAATGAAGCCGGGAGCCAGAATATGACGTCAGACCGGCTCCCGGCATCACTAAGCGGCACGCGAGGGAGCTGAGCAGGAAAATCAGAGCTCCATCGCCACCTACTCTGTCTGTCCACCCCCTGCCTGTCTGTGAAGCAGCCCTATTGGACAGGTAAGTGTAACGGATCACCTGGCACCCCGACTGGGTACCTCCGTTGAAGGATGCTCCTAGCATACAGTGACTTATTATAACATAATTACATATTTATACATGGGTGGGGAAGACCATAATTAACACAAAATGTCTCTCCTGCATGCAGAATTAGCGATATGTAAATCTACCTGAATATGCAAATTACCAGTCTTGCTATTCAGGTAGTGCATATTACTGTTGCAACCAACAGAGGGCACTACACAAGCTCCATAGCCAAATCCACCTAGTTGGTAGCAATCCTCAGCAGTACAGGAGAGCAGGCAATACATCCCAGGGGCCATAGTCACATGGCAGGAGGCTGGCAATCAGTCTTCTCCAATGCCCAGTGGCGAGGCTGGTTCCGCCACAGTAAGTAATCCACTCCAGCTCTCCCAGGGAGGCTGGGTGGATTTAAAAAAAAAAAAAATAATAATAATAATTTGTGTGTTGGGGGAAATGTCTGTTTGTGTCTGTGAGTAAATGTGTGTGTGTGTGTGTGTGTGTGAGTGAATGAGTGTGTGTGTGAGTGAATGTGTGTGTGTCTATGAGTGTGTGTATGTATGTGTGTGTGTCTGTAAGTGTGTGTATGTGTGTGTGTCTATGTGTTTGTGTTTAAGTGAATGTGTGTGTGTGTCTGTGAGTGAATGTGTGTGTGTGTGTTTCGGTCAGTGAGTGTGTATGTGTCGGTGCTCTGAGTTTGTGCGTCTGTCAGTGCGTGCGTCTGTCAGTGAGAGTGTGCGTCTGTCAGTGTGTGTCTGTCTATCATTGTGTCAAATCAGTGAGTGTGTGTGTGTGTTTGTCATTGTTTGTCAGTGTATATGAGAGTGTGTGTCTGTCAATAAGTGTATGTATCTATCAGTGAGTGTGTGCGTCTGTCAGTCAAAGTGCGGCTTTGACTGGAAGGGGCGGGGAAAATTTAAATTAAGGGGGGTGCCCGAGGGCAGCACAAACGACCCAATCTGGAGTCTTTTCCAGGAAAACAGAGGTATACTCGAGTAAAAGGTAGTGCCTTATATGCCTTTAACTGTCGCCATGTGGAACTATAAGAATTGGACAAAAATTAAGTCTTATAGTGTAATAAAATTTTTTATCCATTGGTGGCTGTAACTTTACTACACTGTAAGACTATATTTTGTCCAAATCATTCCATATAACCAATTAAGGACATTTAAGGTGCTACTCCCACCTTCTCCTGGAGTATACCTCTATTTTGTGTTATTATTACTTATTATGTTTCTATACCTTGTTACAGAGGTAAATGGTGGATACCTATGGAGCTCAGTTAGCGAGTTCCAATTAAGGATACATTCTTGCATTGAAGCTACAAGGACTTCCATCTACTCTGATGCCTCTCACTAGGCATGGCCACCATGTCTGAAGATAAGAGCTGAAATGGCCACATTTCTTCCTGCATGAATGTGTTTTGGAAGTGTGAATGTCTGTCTGTCTGTGTTTCTTCTTCCCTGTCTGGTGATATACTAAAAGTTTGCTAAATATTCCTCTTTTGTTAGCCACTAAAGGAATCTCTTGCACTGTACCAATAAAACAATTCTTTTTATTCTTCTTTAAACAAATCAAAAATTACACATTTCAAACAAAACACACTTAATAAAAGGTTTAATGTTTTATATTTTATTATTCACCACACTCTTCAGTCTATTTAGATACCCTGGCTGTGGCTCACAGGGTTAATTACTGGGCAAATCCTGCGATACTCAGGGATACAGTAATTACAGTAATTCACACAGGAAGGGCAGGATAACTGAAGCAATGCAATGGAAACACACACGGTGTCCAGGACGGGGTACACAATGCTAATTGTACAATTAACCGTTTACATAGTAAGAGTTAATGTATTGAGTGGCTGCTACATTGATATAAATCACAAGGCCGATCCAAACAAGGTTCAAGACGATTCCGATTCCCAGAGCCACCATGTTCAGTTTAAACGATGTGCGTGAATTGCTCACTGCTGAATTCATGTCTCCATATCTCAATGAGTCCTGTGTCTAAGAGAAAATGACATGATAAGAATGTAGAATTGCTTATTATGTGGATACATTATTGCAGTATAGTAGTTGATGTTTATAAAATGCTAGCATTTTCCAATGAATGTACAAAACCCCCAAATATTTGACATCACTGCAAAATGAGTGACGTCACATTTAAGATGCCAGAACAAAGAGTATGGGCAGTAGCGCCACTGTCACACGTCGCGGAAGCTATCGAGTTGCCCATGCACTTAGGGTCATCCAATGGGTATTGCTGAATATGGGCTCGGACAGTGCGCCGGGGCCCCTGTATTACTGGCAGCCTGGGAGGAAGTGAAGCTGGTCACACATACAGAGGATATGAGCAGCACAGCCCACACACATCATCCTCAGCTAGCAGCACCTCAAGCAAGCCACCCTCCTGCAAATAAAAGATATGCTAACAGGAGTATGGCAGCAAATATAACAATTATGACATGTGTGTGTGTATATGTCAGTGTTTTTATCTGTGTGTGTATGTGTATCTGTGTGTCAGTGCAAACAGACCCCTGCAATTAAACAAAAATGTTACATACAAACACACCCCTGAATTCAAACTCCAATATATATATATACAAAAATACTTCACTCAAACACCAATACTACACACAAACGTACATCTGAACACGACATCCAAACACACCGCTGTATTCAAACCCTAATATAATACACGAACACCAACACTGCACACAAAAGCACACCTGCATTTAAAATCCAACACTACATACAAATACACACCCCTGCATTCAAACACAAACACTACACACAAGTATACCTCTGCATTCAAATGGCGACAGTACATGCACATATATACTCTATACAAAAACATGCTTACATTCAAACACACAAACACTGCTCACAAATACAAACCTGCAACGGTGGGCAAATGGTCGATCCCCTGCTGGCATAGTATCGCGGGAACTACCTTTTCTCCACTCTTACGCTAGAGGGGGGTCAACAACAATCTTGCACCAGGACCCTCTCTACATTAGTTCCGCCACTGAGTAGGGGGGCCCTGTTCATAAGGGTTTACACCCTCTAACAGTGTATTCCCCCAATAATTTTGCAAATGTTGATCAATCATTAATTATTTGTTTTGGGTATCTAAAAGCAGCAATTTAGATACAAAATAGTTTTTTTTATCCCAGATTTATGTGCTAGTTATGAATTCCAACATAAAAATGTTGAAACCTTTTTTAAAATACAAATAACTTGGAAGGCAATGGGTTACTGTCCATAGCTAAAAGACGTTTGTACACATGCCGTATTTTATCTGCACATCAATAAAATAGTAGCAGGCCTCCATAAAACTTTGAATTAGTAGCGGCACCCATTTAACACCTGCCATACCAGATTGAGTGAGTAATCAATTATATGAAGCATTTAACCCTTGGTAAACGTGGTCACTGCCATCAAAGGAGATAAGAATGTGATCATTAAGATTGTGAAGGAATGGACTTTAAGCTCTACGATACAATGATATATATTCTAATAAATTCTCCCTGCATGGGACATTTTAGCTTTGTAACTGCTCGGAATGATTTCCTGAACCCCCTTTTACCTTGCAAGAGTAGATAAGAGCAGCTATTCCAAGAGGCATACAGCACAGAAGCAGGTTTACGATGGACAGGCAGAGATAGTCCTTGGGAACAGGCTGACGGACGACCGCCACATTAGGTTGCATCGCGATTACAGTTGGCCCTGGCATAGCCTGCTGGGGGGCATAGTTTGCTATGGGCTGGCCCTGTTGGTACGGCGTAGGCATATAGCAAGTCTGAAGGGCTGTCTCTTCATTATCAGGGTCAGATAAATTTGGATTAGAATATTTGCACCCATCGACTGTCTTCATTGGAAAATAATTTCTCGCCTTCAGAGATCGGCAAAGAGTTTTGTCCTGTAAGATCACTTGTTGAGGTTTTCTCGCGATTCGCAGTGTGCCAGAACGTGGCATGTTGGGTATATATAAGGCAGGGCTGCCATTTCCACTCCCTGGTTTTATGATGAGATGTTGAAAGGCTAATGCCAATTACACATCATAAATGAGCCGAATAGAGAAGTGGAGAACTGTCAGACAGTTTGTTTTGTAAGAAGGACATTTTTTAAAAGAGGAGAAAATATTATTGCTGCTTTATGTCTACACTGGGTTCAATGAGAGAATGATACTTACTAAAGTTGTAGAAAAAAATAGAAACAAATCATCACAGGCGGAACCACACAAAAACAGAAAAGCACATTCAGTCCTTAATCGCAGGAATCATTATATTTGTTTCTTTTTGTGTACCTCCTCCTGCAATGTTTTTTTCTATTTTCATACACATTTAGGAGGCCTCAGGAACAGGATAAACACAGTGTATGGAGGGAGCTCGACTCACAAGCTTACAATCTAGAGGGAATGGTGGTAGACGACGAACACAGTGTTTGGAGAGAGCTCGGCTCACAAGCTTACAATCTACAGGGAATGGCGGTAGAGGAGGAACGCAGTGTATGGGAGAGCTCGGCTCACAAGCTTACAATCTACAGGGAATAGTGGTAGAGGAGAAACACAGTGTATGGAGAGAGCTCGACTCACAAGCTTACAATCTAGAGGGAATGGCGGTAGAGGAGGAACACAGTGTATGGAGAGAGCTCGACTCACAAGCTTACAATCTAGAGAGAATGGCTGTAGAGGAGAAACACAGTGTATGGGAGAGCTTGGCTCACAAGCTTACAATCTAGAAGGAATGGTGGAGAGGAGGAACACAGTGTATGGAGAGAGCTCAGCTCACAAGCTTACAATCTAGAGGGAATAGTGGTAGAGGAGAAACACAGTGTATGGAGAGAGCTCGGCTCACAATCTTACAATCTAGAGGGAAATGATTCCCTTCTTTAATCTAAGTTGCTAAATTCTGATGGATAAACCCTGATATTTATTTTACGTGATCATTTAAAGGAAAAGGAAAGCCTGTGTTTTTTTCTGAGCAAATCCTGCTGATCTCTGAGGATGTCATTACTGTTGAAATCTGCAATTTTTGTCAAATGAAAAAAAAAGAGCTAAAGAGATTTAGTCGTTTTCAGTGTTCCTTTAATAGGGGGCTGGCCAACATGGCTGCAGTCAGTACTACGAATGCTTGGTGGATTGAAAAACCTCATGTTTGCGGGGCCCGCTGCATCACAAGTGATGTTCAATATGTCCTTGCACGCCCTCTCCAGCCCCGCACCCTTCTCTTGGCCACAATACGTGAATGACTTCAGTTAGTGGCAGGATATGAATACACGTTTCCTGCGTGGGCCTTTAAATCTGATGTTTGGGATTTTGTAATATCGACTTTAACTGTTCTTTACAAAAGTTTATTGCCAGCAATTACTGCTTTTATAGGAGCAGTGATCGGACATTCAGGGCGATTGCTAACATGAGAATTACAAATAATGTGTGTGTATATATATCCACAATACATCTAATAATAATTACAAATAATGTGTGTGTATATATATATATATATATTAATAATACATCTAATTACAAATAATGTGGGGTCATAATATTAAAAGTTAAAAATTTAAGATATAATAATAACTGGATGGCTGCTCACTTCCTTAAACGGAACCTGTCCAAAACAGAGTTTCTGGTCTTTCCTGCCTAGTGTTGCTGCTCCCATTTCTCTCTCCCTCCAAGTCAATGGCGCCACCTTCCGCTCTACCTCTGAGGCTCGCTGCCTAGGGGTTCTCTTTGACTCTGACCTCTCCTTCACCCCTCATATCCAGTCACTTGTCAAATCCTACCGTTTCCATCTCAAAAACATAGCTTGCATCATCCGCCCATGCCGTTGTCCTCTCTGGCCTTTACTATTGCAATCTCCTCCTCATTGGTCTTACGCATTGTAGCTTGCCCTGTTACAGTCTATAATGAATGTGACGATGAGGCTCATCTTCCTGTCGGACGCACTTACAACGCCTCACCCCTCTGTCAGTCCTTACATTGGCTTCCTGTAAGATATAAGGTTCAATGTAAAATTCTTGGCTTATATAACGCTGCTCCTACCTATTCTCCCTAATACATAGCATGTCCTGTCTTGGCCACTACACTCTGCTGAAGACCTACGTCTATTCTGTGTTCATACGCTCACATTTGACGCCCATGACTTCTCTAGGACTGCGCGGTTCCTGTGGAACTCCCTTCCCTGCTCCGTTAGACTCTCACCCAATCTCCATTCCTTCAAAAATTTATTAAAACCTCACTTCTTCAGTAAAATATATCATGACCGGTGTATAGTCGCCATATGGGCAGTCGGACTCCAGGACAACCCTCCCACATACCTAACCCAATAATGCACTGACACTCGGGTATATGGGAAAATTTGTCCACAGCTTTATTAAACATCTGAATAATAATAACCATATATTCAACATAACATAATAATAGTAATAATTTAACAAATAAACATGGGTCATTGCCCCCCATACTCCGCCCTCGCATCCGATTCCTTCTGTTAATATAAAAGGCAATGACCCCCATATAAATAACACATATATATATAACATATACCAACATTATTCCAACATACCAACTTAAAGTGCCAACATAAATTTAACCATGGCAGGGGTATACCCGGATACCCCTACCCAACCAGGTTCTGAGCCACCGACAGGACTCGAAACCTACCAACCACCAATGACCACAGTTTTCCATATCTGTCACGTTCATCCTAGGGAGCCTATTCTTTCTCCTTCAGCTCCCTATCCCACCACAAGCTCAGACCTTGACCCCTTAAGCCGTCTGAGCTCCGCCACCCCGAAGAAATAGCGCCTTGGTTATTCCGTCTTGCCAACCCAGGTTCAGCAGGTCCCATCCCACTGCCGAAAGATGAACGCCATCTGAGCGGTAGTACCCCGGCAACCCGCCTTCCAACTCGCTGTGCCGCACTACCACCCCCCCAACTTCCTTACGAAATTGCCATCAAGCTATTCACCTTCTTTCTACACTTGTCGATTACTCCCGGAAGCAGGTCCCTCAATTTGTTGAGGTCCTGCTTCATCCACTTCACCAACCTCCGCTGCGGTGTTAGGCCCAAGTCATTGCCCCCCGCATGTAGCACCAGCAGGTCCGGCCTCCTGCCCGCCTGCCACCATCCGGAACACTTCCCGGCAAACTTCCCCCCAGCAAAAACCCCTATACCCGAACCATTGCACCACCAACTGGTCCCTTGAAAAGCCCAGCTGCTGACCCTGAGCTCGAGCTGCGGCTCTCCTTTCGGCCCAGAAAACAAAGGAATGGCCCACGATCCATGCAACATAGCCTGGGGAAGAGAGAAAACACAGATTGTAACAACACCCTCCTATTGCCCTCCAGGAACCCCCGAAAAAAGGCCCAACATATCATTCTAACAATCCCAACCGCACGTACGACCGGAACCGTACTGACTCCCATCTTCCAATTCGTTTAATTATGTCGTCCCCCAGACCCAACCTTGCAGCTTCCGTGGCCGCCCCGATGCGAAAGGAATGTGTACCAAAGCTATCCACCCGTAACCCCATTTTTTCCAGGCCCCACCGAAAAACCTTAATAAATTGAAATCGGGAGAGGGAAGACCCGTCTGCGTGCACCAGGAGGGATCCCCCAACCTTCGGCCTCCGGACCAAATACTCTGCCACCGAGGCTACCGGGCACAGAACAGAGCCCGGCAGGGCCTGAAGTGTCACATCACGGCCCACCCCCCGTGAATCCGTCTTAGATTCGGCCAGGTGAACCACCAATTTCCCCCCTTGCAGCCGAACCCCGGAGACCTGTAGGCCCCCGGCCACTACCCGATTGGCACTCACCAACTCGCTAATCCGGAAAGCCCCGAAGAAAGCCAACAGAAACGCTGTCTGAAACAGGGACACCTCAAACTCATCGAGGCAAATTCCAGGCAGCCCACTAACCAGATCCCCCAACACCTGCACCGACACCGGGCGCCTAGTGTCTGGAAACCTGCGCCCCTTCCGATAACCCTTAAGCGCCTGCCTGATGAGGAAGGACTTGGTAACGTCTTCCTTCCCATGCAGCTTAAACCAGAAAGCCATCGCCGCCATGGACCTGTCAACCACTGCCGGGGAGGCCCCCTTTGCCAGCAACTGACAGGTGTACCACAGAAACGCGTCCCGGAGCGATTCCCCTTCCGGCACGCAATCCGGCCCAGCCCAAGATCGTTCCCACGAACCCCACACCTTACTGTAAGCGGTGCCAGAGAAGCCTTCACAAGTCCCACAAGCAGGACGCTCCCAGCCGCCAAATTTCGTCCGGGCACGCCTGGCCCGTTTCCTGCGCCTCCGGTGCCACCGTCCGGAATCGGGACCACTGAAAACGAGAGAGAGCGTCAGCCACTTTCGACGCCGCCGACTGATTATACACTGCGTGCACTACCGCCATATTGTCAGAGAAAAAGACCACCTTCCTGTCCCACAGCCCTTCCCCCCATAGAGCCATCGCAACCACCAGCGGGAACAATTCCAGGAAGGCCAGGTTCCGCATAAGGGCGCTCGGCCCCCACGCCAGCGGCCACCTCTCCGCGCACCATTTCCCACCAAAGTACGCCCCGAAGCCCACACTACCTGACGCGTCAGTGAATAGCTCCAGTTCTGTCACCGACACCCCTTCCTGCCGAAAAAACACAGTCCCATTAAAGTCCCGCAAGAAGGTATCCCACACGGGAAGGTCGGCCCTCATGGCGGACGATACCCGGATGAAATGGCGTGGGGATCGCACCCCCACCGTAGCTGCCGACAGGCTGCGGCTAAAAACCCTACCCATCGGGATTACCCAGCAAGCGAAATTCAACATCCCGATCAACGACTGCAGCTGCCTTCCGTTTTATCCGCTGCCAGCGGGACCCCGAAGCACCCCGTGACCCACTCAATAGTCCGAAGCAAACGCAGAAGAAGTCGTCCAAATAGTGCACCACCGATCCATTCCCTGCCTCCGCCCGTACCACCCATTCGAGGAAAGTGCTGA